ACATATCTCGGCAGCCAGTTCGTAAACGCCCTATCTCAGAAACCATTTCAAGAACGCTGTACTTCAGAATTTTATTGAAAAACACCCTACCTCAGAAATTGGCTGTAGAACGCCCCATCTCAGAATTCGTTTCAAAAACGCCCTATCTCAAATGAAAAAGTATTGAAAATGTGCTAAGATGGGGCGTTTTTGAATCAGCAGCTGAGATAGGGTGTTTTTGAACTGAATTCTGAGATAGGTCGTTCTTCAATCAAATTCTGAAGTACAGCGTTCTTGATCAAATCAATCTTGAATCAAATTTTGAATCACGGCATTCTTGAAAAGTTTTCTAAGATAGGGCGTTTTTGAACTGACTGTCCATCTTCCACTCAGCCTTCGATATATTTATCAACCAATTGGTTAAGCAACTTAAGAACATTTAAAATTCAAATTATCTACAAAAAATATCACAAGCTTCAGTTGTCGCGGCAACAGTTGCTTTTTATAAAAATCAACAATTTTTTTGCCAGTTTTGCAGCGATCCAGTAGCACATTTCAAGGTCATTGAGCAACCTGTATTGGTAACAGTAGAATGTTGAAAGTTGGTATGGATATTAAAAATATCAAAAGGGATGTAACTAAGGATGACATTTTTTCTCCCATATAAAAATTGAACGACTCGAATGTGCCATCTATGAAAGTTCAATATACAGTACTAAAAATTTGTGTCATTATATCAACTATTCTACAGTGATATCTAAAATACAATGTATTGCATTAAGCTCATATTATTTATGCAACATTAATTGCCCTAAACTGAATTAATGAGCCTTGTTTCCCCGTTCGAAAACTTTTCCGTCAATTCATTCATTTATTCAATTCGCTGCATTTTCATTAAATTTTCAATTATGTGGCATTTAAAGTAGTTTTTGCTGTTGCATCATACATCATCAAAGCAACTCTTAACATAATTACCCACAATGAAATAACACAAAATTTTGCAGATTTATGTATCTAACGGCGATTTTAATTTATGCAACCAAAAGCTGCAGTTGACGAACCACACCGAACCACCGTTGATACAAAGAATACAAACAATTTATTTAATATGTATTTACGTTTGTATACAATTCATTAGCTGTCATAATTATGTTTCAAAACATTTCGGCATAAAGTAATTAAATAGAAGTTCAGCGACAATAACTACAACAACAACTATTTAAAATGCCGCAGGATGGTGTAATCATGCGTATGTATGTTGGGGTGGTCCAAAATAAGTAAAGTTGGAATTTTAATGCTCTCACCCCCTAGGATTGTTCTATATCGAAAAAATATACCCTTATTTTTTATTTTGTAATAAAAAAATATTTAAGGGTCGCTGAAAGCGCTCAAAGTTCTCCATGTATTTTATATGGGGAAAAACAAATTTTCGTAGAAATGGTGTGGAATTCTTGAAAATCAATATTTTTCGATCGGAAAATTCTGTTTTTATTCAGGAGATTCCCACTAATAATACCCAATTTTTTCTTTAACCATTTTCTTGCAATTTCTGGGGGTTTTGACGGACCTATAAAATATAGTTACTATGAAAAGGTGGTTAAATAAGTAATAAGGTATTATTACTGGGAATATCCTGAACAGAAACAGAGTTTTCCCTTCGAAAAATATTGATTTTCAAGAGTTCTTTACCATTTCTACGAAAATTGGTTTTTTCCCATAGATATAAAACACATGGGAAACTATGAGTGCTTTGAACGCCCTCTAAGTATATTTTTTCGATATAGAACAATCCTGGCGGTGAGAGCATAAAAATTCCGACTTTACTTTTTCACATGCATTTTTGGACCACCCTAATGCATATACTTATGTTTTCAGAGTTTGTGAATGAAGTGTTCGAGCAAATTGAAATTAATGTCACACTACAAACCAATTTACTACCTGTCAGATTGAAGTATAGCATCCTGCAGAAATATGTACATATGTATGAATATAATTTGAGGCCTATTTATGCATACAGCGTATGCATAATGCAATGCACTTTATTTGCTTATGCACCATATATGCACACTACATACATAAATACGATTTTGCGAAAATATCCATTAATTACCTCAATTGCTATTGAGCTTCTAAGCACTTGTGTAAATATTATGAAAGCATACAACGCACTTCTGCTTAAATAGGTTATTCTAATATACCTGTGCATGTGTGCACATAAATACACTCGGCGACAAAATTCGAAAAATCAGTACACTCTTATTGCCACTTATTTATGCAAACTCAAGACCGAACGCTGCCAAAAACATAGAAATTAGGCCAGAAAAAATGTGGTAATGATGTTATCCAGTGCTTGCTTTATTATATTTGTATTATGAACAAAAAAAGGTTACGGTTCTTAAATATGTATCTGCATATATTACAAGTCTCTGTGCGGTGGGCCCTTAAATCTCAAGCTTGTTTTAAAATATTTGGTACTGATTTTTTTTTTTTTAATAAAATGTACCCCTATGCTGCTGAAATATATTTATTGTTAGATCATTGCGAAATCGTTATAATTTTTTTTTTTGTTTTTATTTATATCTATTAATGTTTTCTGTTGCTTAAATTGTTAGCTTTAAGTTTACTTTGTATACAAATTGCATTTTCCAACTTAAAAGTCTCAGAGCTACCGCCTCATTTCTTAAATAGATAAAAATATTTTTCCGATAAGAATAATCCATAAATTTGGAATTTGGTTTTTTTCGACAGTCTTTAATCGTTAGGACCGATTTGAATCTCTTATGATCTAAAAAATTAATTAGAAAATAATGGTTATAATATGATCTAAAAAACAAAAATCAAAAATTACGAAAGAAATTTTTTGCAACAATAAATATTCCAAAATAACGATTATTTTTAATTGAAAAGATAAAAATCATAAAATAACCGTTAAATTCGATCACAAAATAGAAATCAAATTTTAACTGTAAAACTTTGATATATATTATATGATCATAACATTTATGTACGTTCCCTGCTACTGAGACAAAAATTTTATTTTACTAAAAAACCCTATTTTACTTTCATTTGTGTGGTACTACATGGCCATAACATTATCATTAACATTATTATTAGTCATTATCCAACCTGTGCCAGATGTCTAACTACTCTAAAAGTTGTTTCTAACATCCTTATTCTATTTTGGCCAGTGCATTGTACAAGATGCTAGCGGTAACTAGGAGGTATTTCTGGCTCAAAGCTCTTTATTTAGTATTTTGTATTTCGATCAAAATATTTTTATTAGTAGTTTTGCTGCTGAGTGTACATCACATACACACATATGTAAATGCATTTATTTCCGATTACATATTTGTTTGACTGGGAATCTATAATTCAGCTCTCATGAAGTCATTGAACTACTTACATACATATATATGATGATAGCAACTAATATGATTGGCAAATTTACCTGCATACAGTCGACCGCAAATAAATATGATTTGCAATTGAACGCATCATCAAACAAACCGCCTACGCTTGCCTCCCTAACCGCGACCGGAACCATGTGGTGCCTGCCCCCAAAAGCTGTGGAAATTCTGCGAAAGTCCAATTTAATTTATTCCACCGCTAGTCGGCAATCACATTTCCTGCGAACTAATTTGAACTGTACAAAATACTGCAATACTTACATGCATACATATGTATGTATGCAGACAGGTACAGATATTTGCAAATGTATGTATAGCGATTTTTTTATACTATTTATGTTTGATTTTGACACATTTGCTCGCAATCGTACTGAATTCAACTCATTTTTATGGGTAAACACATTTAGTTTTCATAATCAGTTTTTCGTTGAGGATATTGGTGTCGCATAATTTTCAGAATTTCGCATGCAAATCATATTCACATTGATTTGAGTTCTGAATTCTGTAAATATTTAAGGCGGCATAGTTTATTTTTGGTATTCGCTCCTTTCAATGGAGAAAAAGTAAATAATAATTAAATAAAAAATTCTTATCCATTACATTCGAAATTTGGTTACGTCTGAGACAAGTCTTAGTATAAAGGATTACAATCAGCCAATTGTGCCAGAGTAGTGCGGATCTATCGAGACTGCTGATGCTCTTCCTCTGTAATGGGGGATAGTCGAACTCCGATGACGGCGTTCACGTGGCGTGAGTTGGTGATGGTCTATGCATGAATGTCATTGATTGCCTGTCTGTCTGTACAGCGTAGGATCTAGTGGTTGATTTACATATCGATGGTCCTGTGCGGTCACGGCACAATTCTAAATACAAAAAAAAATAAAAGCCCTTACTACTGTTAAGTGGCTCATGTCTTTAGTCCTTCTCGAATCCACGTCTAACCTTTAGTATTTACTTTAGCATTCCCTACTGCTTTCTTTAGTAAGAGTTGAAAATGGATTAAACAAGGATTAGAGACAAGAGCCACTTAACAGTAGTAAAAGTTTTTATTTTTGTGAATTTTGTATTGTGTCGTTATTGCAGAGGACCATCGATATGTAGTGCTAGATATCGCAATACTTTATTATACAGCCCAATTCTTAATATTCCCGGGGAGTTTGTTCTCCGGGAACTTGTCTCTCCCGAGAAAGAAATCCTCCAATAATTAACTCCCAGGGAGTAGCATTTTCCCCGAAAATTTGGGTGGAGGTAATTCGAGCTTCGAAAAAGAAGTAATATATGTTGATATGAAACTTTTTTTCGCTCGTTTGGCTGTAATTCTAGACTCCAATGAATCGTCGGAAGAAGGGATGGGATGGCGATCGTGGTTAGGCTCGGTTAAGCTTAAGATAATGTACAAAAATAGGCTAACATAAAAATAAAACTGACTTTCATTTATCGTCCGGACTAGATATAGGAGTTTTTTCTCACATATATCCCATTACTAATTAACATTTGATTTTTATTAGTAAGTTATTGACTTTCATCAAAGGATCTATTGTATTTGTAATGTACTTCAATCTAAAAAAAATCACATGCAAATAATAAATTGTATTTATCCTTTTCTTCTTACAGAAACATCAATATTCAGCGTTGAGGGAGTGCACTTATTTCCTGAGCCGAATCGGCAAAATAAATGAAAATTAAAGCAAGTCCTTTCGGTGGATGGTGTACGTTTCTATTGTTAGCAGCAACAGCCATAAATATTGTAATTCAACTTTTTTACTTCAAGCTTAATTTTTGTATAACAATTGTTTCAATTTTCTATATTTTTATTTAATAATTTTATGTAGTTGTAAAGCAAAGTTGAAAAAAAAACAACAACGCCACAATTGATTTGTAAAATTAGTTAATTATCAGCGAAAATGTGAGATAGAAAAGATACAAACAAAAACAAAAACAAAAACACACAAAAATGTACTAAGTAAAATAACTAAAGTGACTATGTAAAACACGACAACAACAAGAGTAACAACACACACGTACGATAACACCTAGCCAGATACACATACACAACTATTTAGCCATGTAAATATTTACTTACATAAATAAATAAATAAAAAGTGAAAAAATTGCAAAACTAGACGAATGAAAATTAAAAAAAAAAAAACAAAAACTTACAAATATCACTTAGTAACAAAATCGATTCAATTATAGTAATAAATAAAGGTAAAAGTGAAAAAATTAAGATGAGCACTAAAATTATATTTTTAAAATTTTAATAAAATTTGACAGCAAATAAGTACGGCAAAAATAGTTAAACTTCTTAGCATTCTTCGAAAGCGAAAACAGAAAACAAAAAATACAAACGAACAAATGAGATGAAATTGAAAGAAACACATTTTAAAAGTATTAAACAAAAAACAGCAAAGCAGTGTCAAATTTTTGGAATACAAACCTACATAAATTTAGAAACATAGACGAGAACATGTCGGAATAAATGCAAAAACAAAAACAATAGCATTAAGCATAACAACAGACAGGCGTACATACATACATACATACTTAACATAACATAAAACAAACTATTATGAAATCAACTCAAAATTACAAAAACTAAATTTTTAGAAATTATAATAACTGATAGTCAAAACCAAAACGAAAACTGTAAAACTCTACCAAGTAATTAGATTATAAATTAAACACATGTTTTGTATTTTATATTATTTTCTCAATTGAACACGTGCCTCAAGGTCCTCAGGTCCTCGATGAGCGTTAGCAGCAACCTCTTAAGCACGCAATAGTTTTTTTTTTTTTTTGAATGGAACAAATTTAACAGAGCGCAGTCTGTGTTATTCTTGACATAGAAGGGAACTCGCTTAGGCAATTTTAGGGTTGGGCGTTGTTCATGAAAGCCCACGAATCCAAAACAAATTCAACACCAACTTTTACCAATTTTAAAAATCGTAAAAAAAATTAAACTAAGAAAAAAATATTATACATACATATGCAGTTGCTGTTGTAGTTAGTAGACGGCGAATAGTAGTTGAAATATTTATATAGCCAAAATAAATTAATTTCGAAAAATTAACTTTTCATAATACACTCAAGGAAGAGCATTTAAACGAAAAAAAACGAATATATTGCGTGTTTACATTCAGAACCATTGATGGCTGACATGACGAGCGAGCATCAATATGCAAAAATTTTAGCAAACAAGATTTTTTTCCGATTAATTTAGGCTTACAGATATTTTTATCAAATCATGAATTTCGTAAAATTTTGCGACGTCTCGAAAAAAAGTGAAAGCGTTCTCGCCTGTCTTAGCAGTTTCATTGAAGCGGAGAAAAGAGAGCTCGTGATTTATGAAGAAAAGCTTCGAAAGAAAAATTTTAATGATTTTTGGCGAGTTTAATGAGATTAGGGTGTACGTTAGGGTGATAAGAACTGAGATCTGATGGGTAAATACTAAAACGAGGTACTTGAGGTCAATGAACTTTAGAACAGAAAGTTGTCTACTCGTGATAAAAACATCTAGATATCATAATTTCCTGTACAACTATTGATGCCCAAGATATGCCAAAAGGCGACCCCTACCAACGGCAAAAAAAAAAACAAAAATCGAATCAAAATTCTTCCTAGCCAAAAATGTAATGATTTCGGGATATCTATAATTTACTGGGATTAGGGAGGTAGGAATAGATCTCACTTAGAGCGGACGTTGGTCAACTCTCAACATTTGACGCATGAGTAAGTCCGGCAAAGCTGACAGTTGTATAACCTTTCATTTACACAAGATAAAGTAGGAGTCCAGACAATAAACTGTCTGCAAAATCAAAGGGAGTAAAGAAGACAATAAGAGGTGTGTGAAGATATTAGTAAACAAGTATGAATGAATACATATAAACCTAAAGTACGCGGTCATAAAGAACAGCTGATTTTTGTTTACAAACGCAACACCTTTTCATTGTGGCGTCTCTCTACGTTAGGCATGCCACTTATTTCGTATACTTTTCCGGTATTGACGTACAAGTACCCATTCAGACGGCCGCTCTATTGTGGTCTGAGAGACATGTATGTATGCTCCTTCGAGTCAATTTCGGTTGAGCAGCTTTGAAGGTTAAAGCTGGAGGATTAGCTTCGAAAATTTCCTGTATTATCAAATCCTCATGTCTTGTGGTGGCTCGGCTAATAACGAGATTTGGCAATTCTTCCACGTTTTTGGGCACCAAAAAAAAAATAAAAGCCTTTGACTTTCAAGACATCTTTTTGCATGGGAACGAAGATAGACTGACAGTAAAAGTTTAGCCTTTACGAAACTTATTTTACCATTCAACTCATTAAGTGAAATTTTTTACCGATTTCTTTCGACCACAAAATTTCGCAATCAATTTGGCTTTTTCGAACTCGCTATCTAGCCGATGCAGATTTTTATTGCGATTCATCATGAAATTAGGGTTCTACATGTAAACACGCAATATATATCTATACATACATAGGTATATACATTTGTACGTAAATGTGTGAATATATTTACCTTTATTACTCAGTCAGTTTTCAGTCATCTGTCGATCGAAAATACCCAAAATACATTGGAAGTATGCAACATTTAGGCAGCAGCTTCATGATTTTACTTCTTTATTACAAATTTATTTACACATTTTGGCAAAACTGTAAGGAGAAATACTCAAAAATTCTGTAATTCTTCGACTTTTCGTAAATAAACTTGCTCGCTTCGATATACACTTCCATGGATATTAGCGTGGGCCGAAAATCCACTTTTTTAGAATTTTGAGTGGTTATAGCAAAAATATGGCCCATTATGCTCTGAAAACAATTTGTGTGAATGATGACAATTTTTGGCCAATATCCTGGGCTCGCCCAAGTCCCTAAAACTTCATCTGCTAAAAAAATTTTTTTTATATACTAAATTATGTAGGACTAATACTTTCGAAGATAATTGCAATTTAAGTAAAAAAAAAATGTATAAATGAATGTGTTTATTAGTTTTTATTTTTTGAGCACATTGAACTTTGATGGTCTTGGGAGAGCCTGAGTTATTGGCAAAAATCATAATGAACCATAAAATTCTAAAAAAAGCGGATTTTCGGCCCACGCTAATACATATGCACACACTTTCTAAATTCAGCTGCTGCAAAAACAATAATAGTAGTAGGTAACTATAATAGGTAAATAAGTTTACAAAAAAGCAGGCAGATTTTGTTGTAATTATTCACTTGCTTACAAATTCCTTTTGTGTTTAGTTTTAATTTTGTATTTTTAGATTTTGTCTTCCTGCTTAAAAAGATTTATTTCATTTAAGATAAAAGTCAAAAATTATTCAGAGTTAAATGTTATTTGCGTGAAAATAATTGCATTATTTGTATGTATATGAGTAAATATGTTTGCCAATTTAACTATAAATTAGTTGTTAATTTTATTATATTGTAAATAAATAAATATATCTATATGAAAGTAAATACAATTACATACATATTTGAGTTGCCGTGTTTTATTTGATTTGCTACATTATTTTTAATTTGATTATTATTATTTTTTTTTGGTTTTAAATAGCAGCTGTACATTTCTCATTTGATATCCTAGCATTCGACATATGAGAAAAAGGACACATTTTTGAAGACTTTCTCTAAATTTAATATGAACGTGCACAGAGTAAAAGCGCTCTCTTATCGTTACTGGTGTAAATACAAATCGCAAAAGTTTAACTTGGCGATTTCTAGAATCCCATTCCTGAAAAAATTGGTTTGCCATGAGATCTTCTGCATTTCTCCTTACACCAAATTTCACAACACGTAATATCCCATCCTTGAAATTTGTTTTCAGAAAAACGTTATAAAAAAAAATATTGCAATTTTACCACAAGAGTGTATGAAAAGCAGTAAATAACACCAACGCAAACATTTGTTACAATTTTGCACTTTCATAAATACATACATAGGTACACATTTACTTCAAAACAAAAAAAAAATTGTAGTACTAATAGTTCTCTAATTCCATTTAAAATTTATTTTCTTAAAAAAGTTACTGAAATATTTCAAAAAAAAACTCAAGAGCAACCTGCGATATCTTAACCTTAAACAAATGTGCGAAAGTAAGTGAAACGACGAAATGCGAATAAAACTTCGACGTTTTTAAGCGTTTGCGTACATGTACGTAAGTACATTAGGTTGGTCCAAAAAAATCAGTCTTATTTGCAGCAACTCCTCAGAATTTAATAATCAGCCATATCGTCAATTCCATGTGAATAAATCGTTCCCATAATTTAACATGCAAAACAAAAACAAATTGGGAAAAATTGTTTTAGTTATGCTTTATAATTTTTGGGAATATTTGTTCATGTGAAATTCGTAATAGGGCCGAATACCGTTTTTTTTTATTTTTGAAATCTGTTAATATTTAACTTTGCCGCGGGGGCTTCGAAGTTTGCCATTTATTTTATATGAGGAAATAATTTTCGTAAATTTCGTAGAATCGGTAAACCAATATTTTAAAATACGTTAAGAGCAAATATTTTTTCAGAGAATACATAGAATAATAAATATTCAAGTTTTTTTTTCTTAATTCGGGCCTAGATAAACTTTTCTAAAATCCGTTTGCAGTGTTTGAAAAAAAAATTACTCAACTCGATACTTTTCCATTTTTTAACAAAATCAGTAGAAAATGTTCCACTTTGCGGCGGCACGGTTAAATATTAACCGATTCCAAAATAAAAGCTTTTTCTTATTTTTGAAATTCTTCAGTATGGGGCGTGCAGTATGAAAATACCTGTGTAATTTTGTACCACCCTAATGTACAGAGTTACGAAAATTAGCATTTACATAGATTTAAAAAAAAATTCTGTGTTTATACCTACATACATGTGTAAAATAACCGAATGCTATGTAGTTATCGAATAGCTGATCTAGATTAGAAAACAAACTCGCCGAGATCGGTAAACCAACTTAAAA